ATATACATATGCATACATACATATACATACACATACATATACTGTACATGCACATATACATACATGCACACAAACATACACATACACATATGCACATACCCCTCCGTCAGTGCCCGAATACAAAACCCAGGATGTAAACACCTGATTGTGTGCTGTTGTGAGCATGCATGGATCTCTCCCGTGGAATGTTCTGGAATGGTCTGTGGTCCCCCAGACCCGACCCGCAAAGCCGGAAGCCGACATAAGGGAGACCAGTGCCAAAGACCCCGAGAGGAACCCCAAGCACGCAGCCCCTAGAGACACCCGTGCCGGAAGGGCGACCCACCCACCCCCCAAAGAGGACCGACCACTGGAGAGAACTGGTAGAGCCCCACCAGTGACCACACACAGCAACCCCTGGGGCCAGCAGTGACGAACTCACAGGCCCCGCCGGTATCCACTGCACCAGAGCGGATCCAGGCACGGACACAGAGGCCCGGGCCCCCAGGCCAGCCAGCTCCTCCACTGACCCCACTAGGCTCCCCTGCTCCCCGAGACCCACCCAGGGACTGAGGCCCCAAGACCTCCTCCTCTGGACAGACTGCCAGGCCTGGAAGACGCCAGAAATGCATCATCAAAATCTACCGTTGTGCACACCATGAAATCACTGAATGGAACGTAACTCCGCCTCAACGTTTCACGCATGAAGGGCTGTTATTTATACTCTCAGTTACGCACAAACTTCATGTCACCAAACAAAGAGTAACACAGTGTCAAGATGAATCCCTGAATTCGTGAAAGCTTCGTCTTTTCAAAGCATGTCTACTTTTCAAAGCTAACCCTAACCCTAACCGGGGGGTGTGTGTGTGGGGGTGGTATGGAACCAAAACTTGCACAGCAACAGATGCGGAGAACTTCCTGATACTGAAACAATCCGCGACGGTTCAGGTAAATTACAAATGTTTATATAGCTCTAAAATCATAAATATTTATCCAAAAATAATTTGGCGACTCATTTTAAAAACATTAGACGCCTTTTGTGACGGACGGAAAAAAATTTGGGAAAAATAAGTTTTACACCTTTAGCAAACCAACAATGAATGACACCATCTGCTGGCCCTGTACAGGCCCTGAACAACTTCTTGTGTTTTACAAAATGTTTTCTTTTATTTACCAACATTTCTCCACAAAAATGTTCTCTGAAATTTACTTCAGTGTACAGGTGCTGGTCATAAAATTAGAATATCATGAAAAAAGTAGATTTATTTCAGTAATTCCATTTAAAAAGTGAAACTTGTATATTATATTCATACATTACATACAAACTGTTTGTAACTTTTCTTTTCTGTCTGCAGGATCCTGTTTACCAATTGATGTGCCACATGAAAGAGTCGACCTGCAAGATGGTAAGTAGGACAAAACAAGGAACCCTGTGTGTGAAACTTATTTTTTATGTAGTTTCTGTCCCAAAATGTGGCTTTAGGAAATGTCATGGAATTTCTCCAGTCAAAGGATACCAGGATTAACC